CATATAGAACACCCGTTTCTGAGCCTAGAAGCAACAGAGTCTTATCAACGCAGGCTATAACAATGTACACATCAAGGAAGGTGACGAATGGAAAGGAGCATTCATCATGCCAAGAGGGCTATTCGAACCAACTGTCATGTTCTGTGGAATGACAAACTCTCCAGCCACCTTTCAAGCCATGATGGATGGTATCTTTGCAGATCTGCTCTTAGAAGGATGCTTAGTAATCTACATTGACGACATCCTCATCTACTCCACCGATTATTCGGAACATCGGCAACACACTCAATTAGTCCTTCAACGACTGAAAGAATCAGATCTCTTTCTCAAGCCCGAGAAATGCTTCTTTGACGTATCAGAAGTCGATTTTCTAGGATTCATTCTCCGACCAGGACAGATAGGGATGGCAGAAGATAAAGTATCAGCAGTACTAATTTGGCCAAAGATTGACAGCGTCAAAGCACTACAATGCTTCCTGGGCTTTGCCAATTTCTACTGAAGATTCATTCCCGGATACTCCAAAGTGGCACAACCCCTATTCAATCTATTGGTAAAAGGAATCAAGTGGAATTGGAATAATGATCATGACAAGGCCATCAATCAACTCAAGGAATGTTTCAAGACTCTACCACTTTTGGTACAGCCTGATATTACCAAACCATTCCGGATAGCATCAGATGCCTCCCTGAAAGCTTCTGGCAGTATCCTATCTCAAAAACAATCTGATGGAAGATGGCATCCATGTGCTTTCCTATCCCAGTCATTCTCTCCCATAGAACAACGGTACGAAATCTACGATCGAGAACTCTTGGCAATCATCAGATGTTTCAAACTGGCGACACTACATTGAAGGATGACAGAACCAGTGGAAGTACTAACAGATCATATAAACCTCACATATTTCAAAGATCCCCAGAAACTGAACCCTCAACAAGCGTGACGGGTGCTGTACCTGTCTATGTTCAATTACCGCCTTTGCCACGTCCCAGGAACTTGTTTGGGCAAAGCAGATGCCCTATCACATATCAATCAAGATGCATCTGAAGGGGGGGTGAACTTCCTGTGGAAGAAGTCCTTCTTCTATCAGAAGTCTTCATTCAGGCCATCCAGAATCTCAAACCCATCAAAACTGACATCAAACAATGCATCTTGACCTGCAAAACAAAGGATACCATTGCTAATCATGGTCTTTGGCTGGCATTACAGCACACTTCATCCACAGACAAATGTACTCCTCCTAATTGGGATGTCCAAGATGACTTATTGGTATTCAGAGGACGAGTCTACATACCCAAGAACACCAAACTTCAACAGGATCTCATCCAGGAAGCCCACAACTCCCCTACTACAGGGCATCCTGGACAATACAAAATGCAGGAGATCCTCCAAAGAACCTATTAGTGGCCTACCCTTGCCCACAACGTCAGTGAATATGTCACTGGCTGTGCAACCTGCCAGGAAAACAAGGTCATCACACACCGGAACTCACCAGACCTAGTACCCATCACCACAGAACACCACCTCCCATTCCAATCCATCACCATGGACTTCATCATAGATCTTCCTTGGAGCAATGGCTTTGACAGCTGTCTAGTGGTAACAGATCACGACTGTACCAAAGCTTCAGTATTCATTCCCTACAACAAAACAGTCACTGCATCTGAAACAGCCACCCTGTACCAAAATCATGTCTTCTGACAATTTGGGCTACCTGTCAAAGCTATCTCTGACAGAGGACCACAGTTTGCATTATGAATATTCAGGGAACTATGCACTAAACTAGGCATCAAACAGAATATCTCTAGCACATTCCATCCTCAAACTGATGGACAGTCAGAATATGTCAATCAAGACCTGGAATTGTATCTTTGGATCTTTTGCAATCACTGAGCAACAGACTGGACACAGCACCTGCCACTGGCAGAATTCGTGCACAACAATAGGTATCATGATACAATCAAAACATCACCTTTCCAAGTGCTCATAGGATACCAACCCCAGCATAATATTCCCACTGTGGGAAAAACTGACACTCCTGACATCACATCTAGACTTACTCAACTGGCACACCTTTGCACAGAAATCCAATCCAGTATTTGACTAGCAGAAGAAACAGTCAGGAAGTGAAATAAGGACAAATTTGTTGAATACTTCCCCAGACAGAAGGTATAGTTGGAAGCCACCAATCTCAAGGGTCTCCATCCAAAAGCAAAACTTGGTCCAAAATGCTATGGTCCCTTCACCATCAATCCGAAGCTGTCATCAGTAGTTTACTGCCTGAAACTACTGCCCAAATGGAAGATTCACCCTGTGTTCCATGCAGGATTACTCTATCCTTATTTGGAAACATCAATGCATGGAAAGAACTATCTCTGGCCACCACCGGAAATCATCAGGAACCAAGAGGAGTTTGAAATTGAATGTATCATTGATTTGAAGATTGTTGGCAAGCGAACACTGTACTGATTTCAATGGAAAGGATACCCAGCATCGGATGACTCCTGATTACTGAAAGTTGAACTATCACATGCAAATGACACTTTGGCAGACTTTCTGCAACCAAAAAAAGGGTGAAATCCTTATAAGAACCACTCTTCCCCAGTCTCCCCAATGGCATCCACTACTGTTCTTGCTGCCCTCCTGATCCTTACCTGGTTCCCCATTGCCGTCCTCCTCCTTATCATTACCCTTGCCATCTTCTATTTTGAGGAGACATACAAAATTGACGTAATCCTCACACACCAACCCACAACCCCCACTGTCAACCAAACCCCTGAGTGGCCAGCCAGAGTACAAGTAACGTCTCCAGCCCAGCTCATACCTACTCTATTTACTGACCTCAGTGGTGAACCAAATCGCCCTGCTCACCACCGCCACCCTTTTTGTCGCCAACAAACCACAACACCTCCTTCTCACCCTTCTGGGGCTCTTCCTAACAACCCCCCCCC